TTTTTTTTTTTTAATTTCCAATGACAAGACAAATTCCATTACTAAAATCAAGAAAATAGTCTTACAAAAATAATGGCAAGGGGATGCCAAAGACAGCAAGAAAAAACACAACCGGGTGAGTGACACTCCACTCACCCTACAATAAACTGCAAATTACAGCTTAACTTACAAATCATCCAAGAACATAAAATAATAAGAGTGAAACTGTTCTACTAGGACATAAATGTCTTCAGCCAAAACATTATTAGGAAAGTCAAATGAAAATTTTCTGTTCAAAGCTTTAGCAGTGGCTTTGTGTTGACAATAACATTTTATCTTCATCCATCCATCCTTCAAAGCTTGTTGCAGGGCCCACCTCAAAGCAAAGAGAGCTAGACCCTCCTGATTACCAGTAAAGACTGCCTCCTCTTCCACTTGTTTAATCACTTGGTTATGCATTTTGCCTACAACTCCCAGTTTGACAAAACCGGTAGAGGAATTGGAAGCATGTTCATAGAAAAATGTCCTTAGGAAAATCTCCTATACTGGATTGTCTTGTACCGGAAGATTGCAAACTCTCAGGCCTGATTTGTACACAAGAACTTGAATATTCTATCCACTCTCTCCTAGCTCCCTCAACCAGGTCTCTTTCCCCCACTTTCTCCTTCATAAACATCCAGCTATTTCGAGTTCTCCAAAGCCTCCAAAGCCACCAAAGGATATAAGAAGACAGACTGATTCTATCCTTGGTGGCTTTGTAGTTCCCAACATTACAGACAGAAAACCACCAATCCCTAAAAGAACACCTATCATTTTCCATCCCAACCCAAGACACCCCACTAATTTTCCAGCACAATTTAGCCCTCTCACAATTAAACAGAATATGGTCTCTATCCTCCTCTACCTCTCCACACCACTCACATAACCCATCCATAAGAATCCTTCTTTTTTTCAATCGAGACTTAGAACTAATGAAATTAAACAACAGTCTCCGTAAGAAATTTTTCACCTTACTTTTGAAACTCCCCATTTTCTTCATGGAATCCTTGCCTGAGCTTGATTCTGGTTCCTCCTTGTTTTGAGATTTGAAGTCCATGTAAGCTGAATATGCAGATTTGACTGTGAAGTTGCTCTCTTGTCAGGGAGCCATCATCCTATCTTCCTGCTTTTGCACTGATATAGGAATTTGAAGGATCTGCTCTGCCTCAGTTGGTGAGAAAGGCTGTAGAATAAGTTCTCTGTCCCAGGTGTTGCCATTCTGCTCCATTAATTCATTAACCCATTGCATTCTGTTTTTGTCAGAGAGAAACTTGCAAGTGGGTTTAAAATTTGGATTAGAAAACAACCAGTGGGAATCCCAGATGTTAATCTTCTTCCCATCCCTAACCTGAAAAATGCAACCCTTTTTTAACAAATTTCTAGTCCCTAGCCAACTCCTCCAAAGCGAGGAATCCCCATGTTTGGGTTGCATAAAAAACAAATTATCCTTACACAAGTATCTGCCCCAAATGACCTTGCTAACAAGTTTGGCTGAGTAAGAATTCTCCACAAGTGCTTGGAGATTAATGCATCATTGGCTACTCTAATGTTCCTAAACCCCAGACCCCATCTTCCTTAGGCTTGGCTAGATGGTCCCGATTTATGTTGTGCCCCTCCTCACTTCTACCCCACCAAAAATCAGATATAGCTTTACAGATATCAACACAAATGTTCACTGGAAGCTTGAAACAAGACATAACATAGTTAGGAAGAGCTTCTAAAACTGTTTTGATCAAAACCTCTCTACCTGCTTCACTCAAAAAATTATTCTTCCAATTTCCACTCTTTTTTTCACACTCTCAAGAACATAAAGGAAAGTCTCTCTTTTGTTTCTACCTATTCCCAGTGGCAAACCAAGATATTTGGCAGAGGACACAGTGGAGATTCCCAACAAAATGTTACTGATACCCATTGTTAACCATTCTTGTATTAACAGGAGTGTTCTTAGAAAAGAAAATAGAAGATTTGGACAAGTTAACAGATTGACCTGAAGCAGACCCATAAACATCAAGCAAATTCAGAATCAGATGAGCATGGTGCATATCCGCATGACAAAATAACACAGCATCATCCGCAAAAAATAGATGGGATATAGCAAGAGCTTGTCTCCCCACCTTAATACCTTTAAAACAATTTCTAGAGCAAGCTTGGACAATCAAGTAGGACAGAGCCTCTGAAATAATGAGGAATAGATAGGGAGACAAAGGATCTCCCTGTCTAATTCCTCTAGTAGGATTCAAATACCCAAGAGGTTGATCATTGACATTGAAAGAAAATGAAGTAGATTGCACACAAGTCATCAACCAATGCACAAAAGTAGGACAGAACCCTATAGCTTCACAAACTCTACCCAAAAAAGCCCAATCAACCCTATCGTAAGCTTTGGCCATATCTAGTTTAACGGCCATAAAACATTTATTGCCTTTCCTCTTGCTGTTTAGGAAATGAATACACTCATTGGCAACAGGGGCGGACGCAGACTTATAAAGTTAAAGGGGCACAAACATAATTTGTACACAATAAAAATAAAAAATTAAATATGATAATCGTTCTCCAGCTGTTCTTATATATTGTATTCTCCATAATACATTATTTCATATATTTTTTTCAAATGTCTACTTTTTTTTTTTGCATTGAGTATTTCATTCCATTTCAGCATTAGTGGACTTATATTTATAATATTTTTTCATAAAAAAAATTAAAATCATATCAGTAGAAAAAATAAATGACAAATACGTGTCAAAACCAATAACAAGAGTTTAGAAATCTTAATTAAGTTGACTTTCATAAAAGGTCTTAATGTTCTAAAGATGACATTTTTTTTAAAAAAAAAAGTCTTAGGTATAAATAGAGGGTTATAAAATTTAAATATAATTTTTTAACAGATACAACATGTGAGTAGAAATAAAAAAAATTGGTCAAAGATGAAATTGTAAAAGAATTAATGTGATATTTTCATTCTTAGAACAGTTGCTACCTTTTTATTTAATTAAGAATTAATTATATACAAAATTGGAGAAAATAAATCACTTACTAAATAATTTTGTTAATAAATAATGTTAAATACTCTTTTTGTAATATATATGCACTATTTTTTTTTTCAACAGGGGCATGGGCCCCTAGGGGCCCCTCCCTAGGTCCGCCCCTGATTGGCAATGATCACATTATCTAGAATTTTCCTATTTGGAATGAAAGCTGACTGAGGGAGAGATGCAAGATTCCAAAACAATTTTCAGCCTATTAGCAATGATTTTAGCAATAAGTTTATAAGAAACAGTACACAAAGCTATATGTCTAAAATCTGCAACCACATCAGGATTAGGTTTTTTGGGGATAAGGGTAAGAACAATGTGATTAGTTTCCTTGGGCATTTTACCTTTCTGAAAGAAATTACAAATGGCAGGGACAAGATTATTCTTAATGGTTTCCCAAAAATTCTGGAAGAAAGAGGTAGTCATACCATCAATACATGGGGCTTAACAAGGATCCATCTCCATAAGAGCCTGTTTGATTTCAACTTCATCAACTGCCTTAGTAAGCTCAAGATTCATAGCTGCGTTAATGGACACTGGGATCCCCTCCAGAGGGCACATGTTAAGATCAGGATTAGAGGAAGAAAACAGATTGCCAAAGTAGTTCCACAACTTATCCACAATCTCCTGATCAGAAAAACATTTGGAGCCATTACCTTTAATAAGATTTTCAAGACTATTAAGAGCTCTTCTATGCTTAACAAAGGCTTGAAAAATCTAGTATTTTTATCACCCTCCTTGAGCCATTGAACCCTAGATTTAGCTCTCCAATATTTCTCCTCCTCAAGGTAGGCCAGATGCAAAGAATTCCTACAATTCAACCACTCCTCCCAATTTCTATTGGCCCCTAGTTGATCTAACCTATCAATTTGATTCTTGAGGGTAATAATGGCTTTGATAGAATTGGTGATGTGGCTAGACTTCCAATCTAACAGAGCCATCCTAACATTTTTTATCCTTTTCTGCAGAGAGAAAAGCAGGGGGCCGTCCACATGCTTATTCCAAGCCTTACTAACAGTTTCCTCATAACCATCTAATTTAGTCCATGTAGAATCAAAAGAGAATCTCTTGGCATGAACAGATTTAGTATGATCACTCTCCAAAACTAGCATATTGTGGTCAGATGAAAACATAGAAATGTGCTTCACTAAGGCATTAGGATTGTAAGAGAGCCACTCAGGAGAAAAAAAGATTCTGTCTAGCTTGACTTCAATGAAGTCCTGCCCCTGTCTATTGTTAGACCAAGTATACAGATGCCCTCTAATCTTGGTCTCACACATACCCATAGCTTGAAAAAATTCCTAAACACCCTGAAGCTAGACTCCTCTCTAATCCTCCCATCATTCTTATCCTGATTGGAGAGGATATCATTGAAATCCCCTCCCAGGAACTAGATCTTACCCCATAAATCCTTAAGCCTAATCAAAACCTCCCATTGAAGCTGCCTCACCTCAGAACAGGTGTTAGCATACACAAAAGTGCCCCACTGAATAATATCACTGCCTTTGACACTGAATTTGACAGAGATGCAAAAATCAAAGAACTCCATACCTATAATACTAATTCTATCAGACCAATACAGCAACATCCCCCCTTTAGACCTAGAAGGTTGGACATAAACACTACTATCAGCAATTTTGAGTTTTTTGCAAATTGAAAGAACAAATTTTTATTTTTTATTTTTAACTTCAGAAATGAAAAGAAAATCTGGCAGGTGAACCCTGATGGTATCTCTGATTTAGGAAATTGTAGAGGGTCCTCCCAAACCTCTACAATTCCACATGCATACCTTCATTGGTCACCAATTAGGGCTGGTTTCCTCCACCTCAGACTCTTTAGCAAGGACTGACACTTTTTGTTTTTTCACTTTTTGAGGACAAGAAGAGCTCTCAGGAGATTCCCCTTCCTTTTCCTCCAAAAATCTTTGAGACCACTCCTATGAGTTCCTGAATTACTCAAGCTAGGAGTAGATCTGTCTATCTGCATGCCTTCAGGGTTACTGAAAGCCCTAGTTTTTAGTTTTCTAACAAAAGACCCCTTTTTTTTTATGGCCAAGTTATCCTCACTAGAAGCTGGTTCAACTGGCACTTCTATTAAAATAGTACCCTGACTCATGGATGCTAAGGGGAGAACTGTGGTGTCTATCAGAGGGGTGACCTCATCTATGACACTTAAGACAACTTTGTGGCTCTTGCTTTGGGCAGGCAAGTCCTCAACACTAAGAAAAGGAGATTTAACCACTACCTCAGTCCCTGGTTCCTCTCAGAATTATAAAGCCGACTACCTAACCCACTCACAGATTGATCTTGACTCGAGGTTCTATAAGACTGATTATCATTATTTGGTTCAGCATTAAATGAAGATCTGGACGTTCTAGGGCTAGAAACAAAAGAATTAGAGGCTCTCAGCCAATCCCCATATTGACCTATGCTAAGCACATTTCTATTAGCCTCATCAAGTTTAATAGAACAGCTCCTTTCGGTATTGCCTATTTTACCACAGTAAAAGCAGAAGGATTGGAGGTTCTCATACCTATTTCACCCAATTGGTTTCTTCCCCCACTTTGATGTTGGTGCCTCTGAGAAGTGGGTCTTTGAGTTTAAATTCCACCAGGCATTTGATAACTTTCCCTGCAAAACTTCCAGATCCCAGCACTACCACGTCTAGAACGCGTCCCATTTTCCGGCCAATTTTCATTCCGGCCTCAGCAGTGAGCCAATGCAGGGGTAGGTTGTGGATTTGGACCCAAAGCGTAATCTTTTCCTCATCTTCTGTGAATGTAGTACTCTCGGGTTGCCAATCTTTAAGAAGTAGGTACTGGCCATCGAACGTCCACGTTTTGCCCTTTAGCACCCTATCTTTGTCTTCTTCGGATTTGAATAGGAATTGGTATGAATTGACTCCCAAACTGCGAACAGAAAATGGTTTGTTGGTTCTCCATATTCCTTCCAATGTCACCTTCAGACCACTGAAGTTGGCCCTTTTTTCCCCGAACAGATTCCCTATCAAGCTTTTCTGGCAATCTTGAAGCCCCGGTGCTATATCTTCTGTCAATAGCTCAATTTCCTCCTCCTCTATAACTGAAATCTTAAATCTATGGAGTTTGTCCTCCAGATCTTGTCCATAGCTAGATCCCGAGATAAAGACGGCAAGACTACCTTAGAAACCAGGAAAGAAGAGGGGTGGGGGGGGGGGGAANGAAACGATAACCAAAAACAAAAGGGAAGGGGAAGCAAGGGAAAGAACTAACAAGGAAGCACTAGCAAGAGAAAAAGCAAACGAAATACAGCAGATCCCTAAAATGGCCAACGCAGATAGATCCATAAAACCCTAAATCAAACTACCAAGCCTAAACACGACCTAACACACAAACATACCTCACAAAACCCACCCAATCCAGAGATCATTAACACACCACGACAGACATGAAAACAAGAAAAAGAAAAGAAGAGCAGAAATCCAAATAGTGGAACTAAGAATCTCATTACGAGAAGGTTTTCGCCACTGGTAGAGAACTGGCCTCAAGGCTATTCTTGTTTGCGTGGGTTGGGTTCTTTTTATCGGCCTATAAATAATTGTTTGTATCGGGACATGCAGTGGACATCGGATTGGCACTGCAGAAGTGGAATCTGCCTTAGTTTCACATCCTCAGTGTGCTGAAGCTGCTGTTGTTGGTGTTGAGCATGAGGTACCTTTATATAAATTCTTGGTTTCTCAATTGGTTTGTCTCATTTATATTCTATTTCTTTGAATCTCTATGTCAAAATTGAGCTTTAGCCATTTTTATTTGACTGTGATGTTAGGTTAAAGGACAGGGGATATATGCATTTGTTACCTTAGTCGAAGGCATTCCTTACAGTGATGATCTCCGGAAAAGTCTTATAATGACTGTGAGAAAGCAGGTGCGTCTAAATTCATGTGAGAAAAAAATTATGATGGATGATACCCTAAAGTTTGAACTGGTCTAATTATGAATGTTAAATTTCTTTCTCATTACAAGTATCATTTTGGTATCATTCTTATCTGGTAAAGTCCTGAGGGATCCCAAACATTGCCACAATTATTTGTTCCTGCCTCCTTTAATCCTGTAGAGTTGTATAACAAGTAGGGCTTATGTTCTGTAAGAGGTATATTATGAATTAGCTGGTTGTTGTACTGGATCATGTGAATTTACGGTGTCCATTCAGTTGGTGACAATGCTGTGATGAGCCTTGAATCGTTTGATTGCATTGTTGCTGATTTAGATGAAGCAATTTTGAGAAAGTGAGATAAGATGGAAGCATAGGTGTGGTGTTGAGTCAAATTACTACTAGTGCGTCTGAGGGTTGACTAAGGAACAGTTGCAAGGAATGGACGGAGTTAGGTTCTTCAGTTATAGTGTGTAGGGGTGTGGAAATTATGAGAAGAGGGCAACTCAACATTTAATTTTGCATAAACTTATGTGTAAACATTTAAGTAACTGTACCCCAAGAGGATTTTTTGCATGAAGGCAGCTTTTGCGATCGAGTTAAGACTTATTAATTATTGTTCTTTATACCATAGCCCTGTATTAAGTTTTTGTACTTTCTTATTTATACATGTCAATTGACAATAATCTGATCACGTCATCAACATCAACATACCCAGTATATTTAGGTTGGGGTCTAGGGGGTCAGTTGTCCGCAGACCTTACCCTTGTAATTATACAAGGAGGTTGTTTCCATAGCGACTCAATGTGCATTGCGTCGTTTGATATAATCTAATCTTGGAAAAAAAAAAGTGAACTTACTAGGAAAATATGATGTGGGATGTTGGATGGTGAAAGGGGATCATCAAGAAAAGTGGTTTCATAAGCTAATACATTACAATTGCAGTTAATATTTACGACGAAATATTATTTGCTGTGGACATGTATATTTAGAGGCTTCATAATACGACTCATTTGTGTTGGTCTATAGATTGGAGCCTTCGCAGCCCCCGACAAAATCCACTGGGCTCCTGGTCTTCCTAAGACAAGAAGCGGAAAGATAATGAGACGGATTCTAAGGAAAATTGCTTCCAGGCAATTAGATGAGCTCGGGGACATCAGCACACTTGCAGATCCTGGTGTGGTTGATCAGCTTATAGCACTGGCTGATTGTTAAGTTTGGCTTTGCTCAGACTATTATTGAAATGTCATTTCCCCCCTTCATTGACTACTTGGCTTTTATTACTTGTTCATTTTCGCCAACCAAATCAATTGTTGAGGTAGCAGGTATTCTTGAAAGTTTACTGGACCTAACTCATAAGTTATTTGTTCAATTTGTGTGAGATCCGAGATTTTTTAGAATGTATTTGTATATTTCATGTAATCATTTGCTGGAAAATTTATGGCTGAAAAACAGCAGTATAGGTCTTAAAGTACGATTGCAAGTAGATTTTTGGGTTAATTGCTAAATAAACTTTAACCTTTTTGCGTTTGGCAATTTTATCTCAACCTTTGGGTAATTGCAATATAATCTCGACCTCAATTTACTTATTGCAAGTCGAACCTAAAACCGGTTGGACCTTCAAAAAACTGGCCGATTTGAAGGCGGTTCGAACAGATCAGAGCTCATATTTACTCATATTTACTGGTTTACTCCAGATCTAAGAGCAGACTCATCACCGGTAGCTTACATTGACATGGAATTTTCGGCTTTGTGCGTCGATATACATTAAATACATGGAAATTGTCAACTTGCTACGTGGATGGCATAAAAACCCATGTCAATGGAAGATTTGGACACAAAATTCGATTCACAAATCCTTAAAATCAATTACTATGTACCCAAATTTGCAATAAGTAAATTGAGGTCGAGATTATATTGCAATTATCCAAAGATTGGGATAACATTGTGAAACGCGAAAAAGTTAAGGTTTATTTAGCAATTAACCCTAGATTTTTTTATGTTCAATCATGTATTACATTTATTTTTAGTTTCTTTGGGGGGAAGAAAAAANNNNAAAAAAAAAAAAAAAAAAAAAGAGTTAATACCATCTCCAATGGACTAGTTAAGTATGGCTAAGTTAAGCTAGGGAACTGTTTATTGCTCTAATCATGGATTTAAAATTCTAGCTAAATCAAATTTAGCTAATTGAGCTCGGAAAAACAGCTAGCAAAAATTGTACCCACTATTGTATGATATTCAAGTTGTAGAATATAGATACTGTAGGGCCATAGTCTTTTAACAAATGTGCATATTTTTAGAATGTCAATACTCTAAAGAATAACATAAATAAATAAAAGTGTTATTTTTACACCTACATATGCATTTTTGTTTTAAATATATTATAAGTCCGATATCTATTTCATTAGAGGAGATATTATAACGTTCCCAAAGTAGATTATCAATCATACAAAACTGTTATTGACGATGATAATGAGTATCCATTTGATCCGAGCAAATACTTTGCGGTTGAAAAAGATGACAAACTACCAATCAGCCAATTCTACCATTGCTGAGGGGAAAATAATGGAAAAAGGTGTACAACCGCTTTTTGTTATTGACAAGCAAAAAAATACAACGGAGGGGCAAGAGAAGGGAATTTTTTACCAGAAAATTTAAAAAAAATTAAGTTGTGGAAAAAAAAAAAAGATACAATTAAATGAAAGTGGACAAAAATAAAAACCCCGTATTTAATGAATACGTTTTACCCCTTTTTTAATTGTAAAACGTATTCAAGGAATACGGTTTCTTTTGTAAAAAATTCTGAAAAAACGTATTCCTTGAATACGTTTTCTATACAAATTGTATAGAAAACGTATTCAAGGAATACGTGGTTTTGATATATGTCCACTCTTTTTTTTTTTCTTTTTTTTTGGTCCACATGTTTTTTTATTATTTTTTTTTATATAAATTGCTCCAAGAGAAGGAGTTCCTCTGCATCCCATCTAATAATTCCTTATTTATTATTATTGTTATTGTTATTGTTATTATTATATATATAAAACCAAAGCGAGATCGTATTTTGTTCCCAACAGCTAATGATTGTTGGGTTGGCTCTGGGAGTTGTCATAATGGTTTCACCTTATATTGCGATGCCGCAGTTCGTAACTCCGTGATTGGTTTGGGCGGTTGGATTGGCGACTTGCAAGGATTGTGCTAGGCAGCTTTTGAAGTTTGTATCCCAGGTTCATTTGTACCTGCCGCAGCCGAGGCCTTAGCCCTACGGTGTGGTCTTCGGTTTGCTTTTGATGCTGGATTTTCAATTCAAAATGCAAAAACGGACGCCCTCTCAGTAATTACTCGACTGAATGAGCTTTCTCCAAATGACTATTTACACAAAGTTTATAAGGATATTTTATCGCTTTTGTCGAAACTCAATTGCGGAACTTGTAATCATGTAGCTAGGGACCAAAATTTTGTTGCCCATTTTCTTGCTGGTCGGGCTTCGTTGGCGTCGGGACCCTTCTTTTGGAAGGATTGTATTTCGACTTTTTTATCTCCTCTTTTCGGTCCTGCTACGGAGGCTTAGTCTTCGTTGTCAGTTTTCAGATATTGTAAGTGAAAAAAAAAATATTAAATGTTACTCATTAATGGTTTGATCAATTCAATAATTATTGTCCAAAAATATAAAAACCCATTGGAATCTATATCTATATCTACGGTAATGTTCACCTACCCACGGTGGGCAAATGTTAATATGTCCACCGCTTATGTGGCATGCACACATTGGTGATGTATTTTTTTGAACATATTAACATCACAAATGTTTGAATGCCACATACGCGGTGGACATATTAACATGTGCCCACCGTGGGTAGGGGAGCATATCCTTCTATATCTATATAATGGACTAATTCATTTTACTATATATGTAACAAATTTTCCCGCCTAAATATTTCAGCTAAATTTGGCAATTACTATTAGACATTCATTTATTACATAAAACCATAATTGGTTAGTTTATTAAGGAATTTGAGAATATTTGAACCAATTATTGTTTGAATTAAAATTTTGGTCTCAAAGATTCATGAAGATAAATTAATTATTTTAATAATATACTAAAAGATATAAATGTATTAGTACGATTTTGAAAATATTTAAACTAATTATTGCTTGAAGGAAAATTTGGTCTCAAAGATTGTGAAGATAAATTAATTATTTAATAATATAACCAAAGATATAAATGTATTAGTGCAAGTTTTGTTTTGACGATTGGGTAAATATAAAAAAACAAAAATCAATATTAATATATAAACAAATACACACATTGATTATATATATTTTGAATAAAACCAATAATACCAATTTCATAGTAATATTGTTGACATAATTTAATGAAAATAAATTACTCATTATAATTGTAAAAAATATTTTGATTAGTTTTTGTTATCATCTCATGGATGTCGATATGAATTATGATCATCAATAAAAAACACTTAGAATATATAGTAAAATAATGAGAATGATTATGTTTGAATTATATTAGATGAATTAATAATTTAAAATATTAATAAACTTTTATAAAATATAGTCAACTTAACCATGAATAATCTAAAATCTAATGAATATATATTAATAAATTATATTTTTATGGTCGGTAAAATTAAGAATTATAATTTTCACATTAAAATATCTATATACATCAAAAACACTATTCAAGGTGTCAAAAAATATAAAATTTATTATATATCGTTTTATAAAGAACAATAAGTAAATAATATTATATAGTCAAATAACAATTGAAATTATAAAATTTTACAGTCAAGGGAATAAAAAATTATTAAATTTGATTATTAATTAAATTATTATATATGTTGAGTTAAATGGATTAAATAAATAAGTATGTACAAAAATATTAAAATACAAAATAAAATATTTACCATTAAAAAATTGTATTGCATAAGAGATAAAAGTCACTAAAAATTTAAAATCATAAGTAAGTATTTGTTGCAATTAGAGTGATATAAATAAAATTTACTTTTATAGATTAAATATTGGTAAGCTATCGAGCAATATGCAAAATATGTATTGCTAAAAAATTATAATAGATAATTATATAAGTACATGCAAGTAATTGGTATACAATCATTATATTTTAAATCTTACACTTTTATAATATTTCATAAACTAATAACTAATTAAATTCATACCTACAAAAATAAATTGGAAAAATAAAAAAATAAAATATTTATATAAATATTATATTATTACAAACTTGTTATGTTGTGTAAGATAGAATTGACATATTATCTTAAATAATTTAATAAAAAAAATATATTGTGTCCCGTGCATCGCACGGGTAGCAACACTAGTTGTGTATAATAGATAACAATATTGTTGTGAATGTTGAATAAGTTAGAGAATTATTTAGAATGTTGTGCTAATTCAATATTGTGCTAATTCTACATATCTCAATACAACTAATAATTAGATAAAAAAATATATTATTAATGTCAAATTATGCGTTAATTGTCCTCAATTGGTTAATCTATTAATTTCTTTTTTTTTTTTCAAACGGCATACTATCATAGATAGAAGGGTAAATAATTTTTTCCAACCTGTACTATACGTGCTTTTGGGATTTTCAACCTAAAATATTTTTTTTTGGTAAAATGCAACCTGAACTACATATATACAATTATTTGCACGCTCGACTACTTTTTGAGCGTTCGATCAACAACAAAAAAGGACACGTGTATGGTCAAGATGTGGTTGAGCGTGCAAATAGTAATTGTATATATAGTTCAGATTGCATTTTACAACAAATATTACTTTAGGTTGAAAATCCCAAAAACACGTATAGTACAAGTTGGAAAATATTATTTACCCTAGATAGAAACACATAAATACAAATCAAGCAAACAACAGGTAACAGCCGGAAAAAACAACTACACAACTAAATCCTATGCGAGGACAACCCATCGGGCTGCCTAATTAGTCGCAACACCCAACAAGAGAATACAGTTCCAAAAAAAAAAAATACAACTCCCAAAGAAAGAATAAAAACACACTACAAACCTGGAAAGCTAAAAAAAACAAAAATAAATACTAGAATAAACCCTCCTACCGGCTAACCGAAAATCCCAAACCCCAAGGCAATGACAACGAGCACGAAGCAAGAAACTCCATACCGAAACCAGCTAACCAGAACCCGCCCAAAAATCACCCACCCTTCC